TGTTGGCTCCTTGACTTCAAGGCCACCTGAGAAATTTTACTGTTACAGTTGATCCTTATGGTGTAACTCAGGATTTCATTTTCAGCCTGTTTCCTTTTTAGTCTGTCTTTCTCCTGCTCCACAACCCCATTCAGGGGTTTCTCCAAGTGAGAAACAGCTCAGGGCTGGCTGGAGCCATTCTGGGAGACTGTTCTGTTTAAAACAGTTCCTGTTCACTCCTGCTCCTACTTAGATTGTATGTGCGGTGGTCTTTGCTGAGAAAATCCATGTGCATGTGTAGTTGAACTCTTTGGGGACGTGGGGGGCATCCTCTTGATCAGGCACCCCCTCTAGTCACCAGAGTGGAGGTGTACAGTGAAAGACCAATGAACAGAAATTTTTTTTCTAAGTTCATATCTTTATCTCTGAGGATTGGTCAGACCTCTGCTGTGGGAGCACTCCTCTGATCCTTCACTGGCTCCATCATGCCCAAGATGGCCACTCCGGGAGCTGCTGGCAGCCACTGATCAGAAAACACCACCTTTTTTGCCTCTGCTACAATTCCCACTGGCAGTAAGCCTTCGATCTTTCTAAATATTCCTTTATAAGTAGTTCAGAGTTTTGGGACAGTCCCCTGAAGTTGCTTCATCTGATATTCTGTGATATTTTGGCAGAGGCGAGCACCGTGCTTCTCCCTAATCCACCATCAAGCTCTGCCTCTTGTGCTGTAATCCATACTGAAGACTGTATCTTTGAGCTTCATCAATAAGTATTTTAAGTCCTTTTAGCTTCTAGCAGGAGTCCTGGTGTGGTGCTGTGGGTTAATGCGCTGGACTGCAAAGTTGGTTTGAACCACAAGGTCAGTGGTTCTAGCTCACCATTCACCCATCAGAAACCCTATACAGGGTTGCTTTGGGTTGGAACTGACTCAACAGCACTTAACAACAACAGCTTCTAGCAAGCACGGTTATATCATCTGTATGTTGCAGGTTGTTAATGAGTCTTCCTCCAATGCTGATGCCACAGCTTCTCTGATTATTTGATCAGCAAGCAGAATGACTAATTATGGTGAAAGGATACAACCCAGGCACACACCTTTCCTAATTTTAAACGATTCACTATCCCCTGGTTCTGTTATAACAACTGCTTCTGGTCTATGCTTATGTTCCTCATGAACACAATGAAGTATTTTGGAATACCCATTAAAAAAATTACACATTTAAAACATGCTACATCAGAGGTAGAGTCCTGGTGTGCGACCCACCAGCTGCTCCTTGGAAACCCTATACAGAGTCGCCATGAGTTAAAACCTACTTGATGGCATTTAACAACAACAGATTGGAGTCAGCATGGCATGGTGATTTAATATATGAGATATGCTCAGTTATAAAAACCACTTAGACATCTGGACTGAACTACTTGACTCGAAGGCTAAGGACCATAGTCTCAAGGATTTCTAGGTCAGTTGGCAAAACACAGTTCATATAGATAATTTTCTACATATAGCCTGTTGAGCAACTGGCCTTAAAAACTTGCAACAGCCTTCTAAGAAGCAACTATTGGTCTCTTCCCACCTGGAGAAATGGTGAATAATGAAGACTCAAGGAAGTTATTAGTCCAACGACTAATGGCCCACCTGAATCACAGTCTCTTCTAACTTAAGACCAAAAAAAGTAATGGTTTCTGGCTACCACTATCATCCACACTGACCAGGACCAAAGTAGAAGATTAGAATGGATAAAAAAATGTAGAACAAATTTCAAACTAAAAAAAGAAAAAAGCAGGCTTACTGGTCTGAAAGAGACTGGAGTAACCCTTGAACTACTGCCCTAAGATAACCTTCTAACTTGAAACTCAAGATACTCCTGGAAGTCCCCTTCAGCTAAATAATAGCCAAGACTATAAAATACTAATGCCTATGAAGAATGTGCTTCTTAGAATAACCGACTACATGAGATCAATAGGGCACCATCAAAGATGTTGCCCCAAATCAAAGATGAGGAGAGAGGGAAGGACAATAAAACTGTATTAATGGAAATGGGGGATCCAAGGATGAAACAGGGAGAATGCAGACATATTGCAAGGATTGCAACCAAGATCCCAATGCCACAGAACAATTTACGTACGGATTAGTTGTTGGAAAACTAATACGCCATGTACAATTTAACCTAAAGCACAGTAAAATGTTCAGAACAAACAAGACATTGGTAATTAATGAAAAAACAAAAATAAAGGGGGGATAGGGAGAGGGGAGCCAGAGTTCTAAATGACATCTGGGTTGTAGGTAGTATGGTGAGAAAACACTGTACAAGAATTTTATTGCATATTTTGTACACTTGATTGTAAATATAAATGACATGCTATATTTTTAAATTTTATATGAAGAGCCTTTGATGTACAGAAAAACATGGGAGTGAAACAGAATTATTCATACTAGGTTTGGTTAACTACAAATAAGATATATTTAAAAAGGAAGAAGAATGGAAGAGGCTTTGCAACCAAAGCACTTGAGCTGGAATCCTGGGCTTGCTACTAACTCCTGTAACCTTTGAACATTACCTAGCTGTCGAAACTGTAACTCAGTTTCTTATCTCTAAAGTTAGAATTTATAATAATTGTACCTACTTTGCAGGGTGACTAAATGAATTAATGTAAGTAAAGTTCTTAAAGCAGTTCTTTG